ATCAAATCTGATCCATATGATTTTCTCCAGAAAAATTCTCACCAGCTTCAACAAGTTACTAGTAATACTCCCAAAACATATCAGTGCATAAATCAACTTTGTTTATACTAAGGTGCATTTAAGCTAGGCAAGCTCCTTCAAGGAAATGACTAAATATAGCATAATAATTCTTACAATCTTTTACCAGCAGTTGCATTGATGTCCCATAGCCAAACAAATAGAGTATACAAGGATAACTATTTTTATCCAGAACTTATTTATTTAAGTCAGAAGTAAGACCCACTTCGCATCGTCCACTTGTTGCATTTCAGAACTCAATCACTTAATAATAAAGATTAATTAGAGTCAATCATGTAGGAATTGCTTGAAATTCAAATGTCAATCTTATAGGAGTTGCTTTAAATTTAAATGCCAATCATATAGGAATTGATTCAAATTCATACGAGCAGTTCATTTTCCTAAGTTTGAAAAGGGGTTATGTCTCTTTCTATATTAGAATATCTAGCCTGTTGTTTCTGGAAACATTTTTGGATTTTGTTGGGTGATGAGGTCAAATTGTGCATAGGTGTGAAGAAGACAGTTGGGCCTGTAAATGCTTGTATGGAAACCTACCTTCAGCTTTCAAATTGGTTGAGAGATGCTCCCATATCTTTGTTGTCGGATGATGATTTCACACCGGTAAAAAGCATGTAACTTTGATCCATTAATTTTTGAAATTGTGTTTGCTCTTTTGGATCTTTGTGCAGTCGGTTCTAATTCTTCTGTTACTTCAATATGAAATTTGTTTCTTTTCCCTCTCTGATAAATGGTAGATGATAATCACAAATCTGATCTCGCATAATTATGCTAATAAGCAACTATTTGTATTGTTTTTCTTTTGGGTATTGCTATATCCACTCCATTATGGCTAAATCCACTGCATTTATGGTTAAATGGTCATTTTTGCCCTCAAAAACACAAAGAAGGATATTAGATGTAACTTTTAAGGACAAATTTAACCATTTAACATAAATAGAGTGGATTTAGCCACAGCGGGGGTGGATATAACAATACCCTTTTCCTTTTTCTTAGAATGAATAAGGAGCAACATGCTGATTTTTTAAACCTAACACATTCTGATGACATTAGATTCTTTACATGCAAGTTTTACTTTTAAATTGTGGATCAAACAATCAAATTTGGGATGTCTTCTTTAATTAAGTGATATATGATTGTATGGCTTTTAAAGTGGAGAAGATTTCACGGTTTCATATTTCAAGATCTTTTAGAGCATGAAGCATCAAATCAAATCAAAGCCTATCAAAGAGTTGGTGTTGTTATAGAATGCTCCCAACTAGATTCTTCTAGTTTTTTCTGCTTTTCATTCCCCCACTTTTTGTTGTAAAGGACTCCCTCTGTCTCAAATAAAAGTTACAGTTACTATTCTAAGGTCACAATAGCTTTTGTCTACTTATGTAGTTATGTGTTTTAATTGATCAATTGATAAAACAATATAGTCAATTAGTCATGTCACTTCTTGTTTTGTAGAACTTTTGACGTAGTTATTTAAATATGTAGGTTTTATTTTTTTTTATACCAATTTTTAAATAAAATGGGCTAAATAAACATTTCATTTTATCTTGTAATTCCCTCCATAACATTTATTTGTGGACGGAGGGAGTAATTTAAAACTGATAATATCAATCGATTTGACGGAAGTGCTTTCTAGACTTCACTCTATTGTCGCAGCAATTATTTTCCCATGTTTTTCAGGAAGAATGTGAGGATTTGCGTGAAAGAGTAAAAGCTGGCCTGCTTAAAAGACCTACTCTTGTAAGTTTATTTAAGTGGCATTGGTCCTTCTATATTCATTGTAGGATTTGTTTCCATGGAACATTGTAGATTCCAAAATTAGTTATTAGGTTACATATTTTAGGACTGGTTATAAAGAGAAAGTTAGTTGCACGTTTTTTACCTGGATAAAGATGAATAAGACAGTTACAGTTTGTTCAAGTTCATTATGGATTACATCTCCTTAAGGTATCTAATACCACTCTTACTACTACTCTTTTTTCTTTTTGACATTCAAGCCTCTCCCTTGTCTTTATGAAGGATGTGCTTGTTTTAAGAAAATATAAACAAGGTAGCAGGTGCAAAAAAGGGTGATTCCTTCTCTTCGCATTGTTTTGACCTATAGTCTTAATCTATATAATACTCTCTAATTCCTAAACTTGCTTTACTCGCCTAGGAATTTTTTTTCAAAGTATAATCCATGGAATGTTTAACCTTATCTATATTAGATCTTTTCTTCAGTAGTAACGGTTCTGTATGAGACATTGGCAAAGTTTTTATTTTTTGATGAATTTGGATTTCTAACAGGTGGATTTTGAACTAAAGGCCCATGTTCTGCATGAGGATATCACCAAACACGTAAGTGGCTCTTTTTCATTTATCTTATGCACCATTTGTCATCTAGATGCAAGTAACCCAATAAGTAATGGATTTATTCATATTGATCTTTTTTAATATATCAAACCCTTTCTTTGGAATTTATTTATGTTCTGTTTTTTTATTGCTAAAGGACATCATTATTAAATGGAAGGGCTGCATACAATTGTTAATCTCATGGGGTATTATGATCTAGAATCTAGGTTCAGATAACAAACCGATCCAGTAGGACTAGGGTTAAGGCTAAGAATGACTAACAGAAGAGTCCTAGTAAGATAGATCCTGTCTGTGCATGTTGTGCTTCCATCCCTTGCCAAAAGGTCTGCCTCCTTGTTAGCCTCTATAGTTGTGGTAGGTTAACTGGTAAAGTGGTTTAATAAATCCTTGGCCTTTTTCTTTTGATTATGATGTGTCCAGTGGATCCACTGTTCTCATTGATGGGTTACACTTACACATTGGTTTTTGAATCAGTTATGGTGCAAATTATATTGTACCCTTTCTCTAGGGCGTGTATTAAAACCATCAATCAGGGATGTGTTCTCTGCCTCAAGCAGCTTATCCTCGACCAAGAGTCAAAATATTTACCAGCTGATGGATAGATCCTGTGGGTGGTATATATTATCCTAAAGTTCCTAACCTCTTCTTGAGTTGCCCGGGTTCCCATTAGAGGATTCATCAGTATTTAGATTGTACCATCCTGAAGAAGGGTTTAACCATTAAACCAACTTCGGAGGCTTGGGCTGGACACGACTGTCATGCAGCTTATGTTTTTGAATGATGGCTATTGCTCTAACCTGCAATCAGAAAGGTGAGTTCTTCTGTAAGATTTTGGTGATTTTACAAATTACCTGATCTGTGGTGGCCTGTGGGATTGACTTTAGATGGAAGAATCTGCTACGTAGACCCAGCAAAATCAAAATCAGACGACACATGATTTTTTGGGGTAAAACTCTTAAGTACTATACAGTTTGTAACCATCCATGTTAGGAAATTGTTGTCTAGACCTCCTTTGCAAAAGTGCAATCCATATTACACTGACTAAAGTCTCCGTTAATGCAAATGTGTTAGGATTAGGATGCTAAAGGGAGGATTTTATTCCACTATCTTCAAACAAAGAGAGATACATTTGCAAATACTGCAATAGAGAGATGTTTGAAATACTGCAATAGATAGATGTTTTTGAGCTTGCTTAGTATTTTGAAGCAGGTTTTAAGCACTTTTTATAGTGTAAACCTCATTGATATCAGGGGTGCCAAATTAGATTATCATGCTTTTCTGTAATTATAAAATAAATTCCCTTAATTAAGTTGACAACCAGTGTTGGCCCTTGGCAAACCTCACAGATGGTTTCTGACCAGATTAGCATGATCCTTAGAGCATGCCTAGTTTGCAGTGCTGTATAAAAAATGTAATCATGCATTGTAAATTTGTAATTTTGTAATTGTTTTCTTGAATGGGTCAATCTCCATCCATTTCAAATTCCAGAAAGAAGCTTAACTGTTACTTCGTATTTGTTATGATCCCTAAGTTATACGAGTATAAAGGATCCCCGGTAATAGATAGGTTAATCACTTATTCCTATAAGCAATTTATCAAAATTTCTGAGGTGATGCACATACCTGCTTCTAATCCCTATTCTGTTTTCATACTTTCCGTTCCATCAAGTTTTCTAGCGAGAAACTGTATTTTTCCTGGAATAGCATTTCTGAGGAGCGATAATGAACATAAAGTAGTAAAATACATCATACTTTATGTTCATGTCAAAGTCAAGAAGGAATTCCCTATATTTTTAGTATCATTCCTGCTGATGCTTATTTTTGCAAATCATACTTTATTAATGGACAAGCTGCCGTATTCATGTGAATTCCTTCTATGAACAGAAGATGCACTTTTGGGTGGTCACATTGTGGATAGCCATCCATTCGGATATTGTTCCTATTCAATTGATCATATGAATTCTCTCCTGGTGGTTCTGATCTTTCCTTTGATCTTTTAATATGTTTACAGTGGATTAACAGAGAGATCGCATTGTTACAGAGGCGAATCAACCATGCCAATGAAAAGGGACGGCGGAGAGAATATCCTTTGCTATTTAAGCTCTTATGACTTGCTAACGAGTTTTTTCCCTTTGTACGGCTTATACTGTGTGTAAAATGCAAAGGTAACGACATTTATAAGTACACACCCGATAAATACAGACCAGGGAAGAAGATTCATTTATGATTGTTACGACATATTGATATATAGTGGTAAATACTACTAATGTAGTTCATATGACCTAACTGGAAAGTTGTGACACATCATAATTATGATGTGTACTAATAACTTTCTACTAACACTTATTTTCGTTCAATGTCAGGTGTTCAGTACCTATCCTTATCCCGTCCTGATATTTTCCCTAGCAAAACAACCTACCTACAACAAAACAACAACCTAGGATAATCCAACTCTGTTGGGGTCTGAGGGGTCAAGATATATGCAGTCTTAACCCCATGAAAATAGAGAGGTTGTTTCCNCCCCCCCCCAAAAAAAAGTAGTCCTACAAAGTCTTTAGATTATTGACCTGAAAGGTAATTCAAATCTACATTTCCATTTTATCTCACATTTTTTGTTTTTTCTATTTTTTAAATCTTTGGTAAGTTCTCTAATGCATGCCTTAGGCTATGATATTCAATGCCATGCATTGGAAGTTGTGCTAGGTGACACTAGCTACACTTGAACGTTGTGACTTTACTTTGCAATGATGAGTTCATAAGATGTGATCATGTGAGTTGAACTATCTAATGGATTAGATTCAATATTTTATTGTGGGTCGTGCAAGTGTGTTATGGCGAGTCTATAGAGAACATCCCAATTCTAAATTCTATCAATCATAATCATAAGACTTTCTTATTAGTGATGAATTAGACAATCTCTTTATTTTCATTACACTAGGTCATTGTTATGAATGGCAAATGACCAGAACTTTGCCATATGGTGCAGTCATAAAGTCATAACCCGCCATTTTAGCAAGTTTCATATGGCGGCCTGCTCTATTATTTGTTACTTCTAGAAAGGTTATTTCCTAATTAGAAAAAAACTGTCCATAAGTCCACTATTATTTGTTACAAAGGTGTCCATTACCCTTATGAATTTAGTTTGAAAACTTGTGGAAGACTGGCACTCTTGAACCATTGCCGTTTTCTTTAACTGCTGCAGAATTCACATTGCATGAGTACTTGCAGAAAAGACAGCTGCTCATGACCAAAGCTGAGCAAGACAGATTATTGTCAGAGAAGCCAAAAGTGGTGCCTGATGAATTAGAACCCGAAGCTACCCCACCAAATGCTTCAGAAAAAGATGAAGAAAAAAGTTCCTCTCCTGAACCTGAGCAGATTAATCTCTCTGGTGAGAATTTTAGAACAGATGCTGAAGAGCCTGAAAAGGAAACTATGTCAATGGATGCTCCGGAAGAAGTGGGAGGACTGAGGTGCTTCTTGGGATCAACTCTTAGGGAGGCTTCTGATCTATCTGCTCCTGGTATTTGGATGAATATGTGCATTGTTCTACGTATAGCAAGCTCTCATATATTACCTTTACGTTTATCTTATGAAATTAACACATCCAATATTTCAGTTTAAATAGAACTATCTGTCATGATAAGTGCTAATTTTTTTTATTAATATTGCATGTGTGTGAGATCAAAGAGCCTCTCTCTACAACAAAACAAAAAAAAAATTAAACAAAACAACTCTCCTGGGTCTTCAAATCAGTGAAGTATTATTGGACATTAAGATTAAGATGCCTAGTGGAATATCTTGTCAATGCATATGTACTCGTATATAGTAAGATTATCAATAATGTGCTCCCGGTGAATATTTCAATTCTTATTTATACTGAAAATGTTTGCTATCTTATTCTATTTTTAATGTGTTGAACTGAATTCATTTTCTGTGATGGATGATGATGCTCAGAACCAGGGAGGGAATCTTCTATCATCGAGCTGAGCGACGATGAAAATGGTGTTGCTCCAGACCCTTATGATGCAATATGGAACTATATGGATCCCCAAGGAGTAGTTCAGGGGCCCTTTCCACTAGCCTCGTTGTCTCGCTGGTACAAGTCTTCGTACTTTGACCCCGAATTCCAAATCTGGAGTGTTTACGAAAGCCAACAACAATCCCTTCTACTTGTTGATGTGCTTCGGGAATATTCGCTGATCTAGAAGTCTTATATTATTAAGATTGACATTTATATTTGTTTATATTTTCTTTGTTCAAAGAGTTCAGGAGTATGTAGACTACAATAAACATGTCCCTGAAGCAGAATAGGAATTCATTTTTTTTGTTCATGTCATAGACAACACTGAACATTATGAATTCAAGCACAATGAGATGTACTTTAGCCTTATGTCTAATTCTAAATCTGTTCCTTAGCTTTGCCACACAGGATGACATTGAAACCTGGCAGAAGTAAGACAAATACAGTAAGGCTTTTGGTACACGGGATTCAAACTATGGAATTAGAATCGAGTATAACAGTTCCAATTCTGTTGTTTGGTAGTACAAAAATGTGTGGATTTGGAATTGGTAGTGCCAAAAATAAATTGGAATTGGAGAATTCAATTCCATCAAAATCAATTCTATTGAATTCCAATTTTCAATTCCACCATTTTCATGTACCAAACGGACCATAACACTTTTGATTGCTATACCCGGTGTTGATTTTATTTTACTACTCCGTAGTCCGTACTTCCTAATTTAAGAGCATGTGCAGTGGCGTGGAGGTTGGCTTCCAGTCTTCCACAGCCTGCCACATCAGCTACAAAGTAGAGGATGCCATGGATGGCAAAGGGAGTTCCACCCCACTTTGCGTGTAACCTGGAATCAATTTTTTTTTCAAGGAAAAATAAAGTTTTTCAAGGACGTAAAAGTACTATGAAATAACAAAATAAAATTTTAATAATAATAACAACCCAGTTAAATCCCACAAGAGTAGGGTCTGGGGAGGGTGTGTGTACACAGACCTTGCCCCTACTCGAAAGTAGAGAGGCTGTTTCCAAAGAGACCCCTGGCTCAACATCGAAAGTTGCATTGCTTGACTAATTGTTACTTCATTAATTAAAGAAGCGTAGATAGTTTAGAGATCCATTTTGATTTATTTCATATCACCCCAAAGCCAAAAAATGGTGAAATTTTGGCTCCATCGGAGATGATGGAAATTGAAATTTTAATAAGTTTTTTAAAATTATATTTATTTTAGGATTTATTTTTTCTGTACAATAAAAAAGCTTTTTTGGAACGAGTATATTTATTTTTATTAAAAAAAAGGTAAGTAAAATTAGATTTAATAATTAAAATATGTTAAAAAGTGAAAAAAAATAATTACTTTTCACTGCAGACTGGATTGGTTTTAACTGGTTGAAGCATTTCATGTTACCGTGTGACATTTCATTTTTGACATGTCATTGCTCATGCTCTAAGTATTCAGAAAGATTATAAAAAAATAACGGGTGGTCTTCAAAAATAGCCAAAAACAAAATGGCTTTGTTATTGGGATACTTTTTAAAGAAACAAAATAGCACAGTAGTATAACAAAATAATACGGATTAATTAATGAATAAAATTTCCAAATCTCAACCTTTTGTATTTAAATGATACACAATTATAATGGCAATATTTTCCCATAGGCGTCATCACACATTCTCCAATGCAAAGTCATACTCCCTCCGTCTTATAATGTTCTTCCCGTTTGTGTTTACGAGATTTGACCGATTTTATTTTCAATTCAATTTATTGGATTGTAGGTGTAACATTAAAAAAATTAAATTTATATATTTAAAAACTACATCAAAAGATCTACAAAACAAGTGGTGACAAGACTATTATTTTATCAAATACCTAATGAAAATAGGTAAAGAAAGTGATTAAAGTTTGACCGTATGAAAGATAACAGGGAAGAACATTTTAGTACGGAGGGAGTAATGTTTTTACTCTTTTCCATAAAGTTGAAAGTTAAATCACTCATACTCAAGCGAATTGGCTTATACCCTTACCTGAAACCAAATACGCCAGACGGGAAAAGTTACTGTTCATGTTCAGCCCTAGCTTTGTATAATAAAAGATGTGAAGTCAATTGACTTGGGAATGGACGAATGTGTGGGTTAAGCCCCAACATATTAAAACCAAAATGGGCAACTAATGAAACAAAAAACGTAGAGAGCCATTCAAGACCAAAATTGGCAAAAGCTGAACTCATCATGGTTTCTATAAAACATTGAACCTCCAACCTAAAACATTCTTCTCGATTCTTTTTTCGAGGTTTGATCGTTTTTATTTTCATTTTGATTTATTTGATTGTAGGTGTAAAAATAAAAAATACTCCCTCCCTCCCAATTTATAGTGCCTGTTTTGGTTTACGGTGTTTGACTGAAATTATTTTCAAATCATTTTATATGACAAATAGTATAGAGTTAAAAAATAAAAATTGCATATTAAAATACTATATCAAAAGATCTACAAAGCTAATTGTGACAATAGTACTTTATTTCATCAAATTGCTAACAAAAATAAATAAAGTGAGTAAAGTTTGATCTTGTGAATAGTAAACATGCACTATAAATTGGGACGGAGGAAGTAAAATTTATATATTTTAAAACTATATCAAAAGTTCTACAAAACAAGATTTGAAAACACTATTATTTGATCAAATAAGTAGCGAAAATAGGTAAAGAAAGTGATTAAAGTTTGACCGTGTGAATAGTCACTGAAAAAACATTTTAAGGCGTAAGGAGTAACATTTTCATCTCATTCATGAATTAGGTTCCATTTACATAAATGATGTCGTTTTAGTCCTATCTGTGTAATTTTTTTCAAAATTATTAGTGCGTTTGGTTGGGCGTTCCAGAAAAATATTTGATTCCATTTTCATGTGTTTGGTGATATTAGTGGAAGGAAAATATTATCTTGCCAAACAATGGATTATACGTTTGAAGAATAATTTTTCTGTTACTATAACGTCTACAATTGAATGAATAACGTTTATCCGTCTTGTCTGCTGGTGTGTTCTTTCTTGTAATTTAAGGTAGGATAAACATTTATATTTAGCTCAATTGGATGAGCATTATGTTTTTTGCAATAGAAGGAAAGATATGTAACTAGAAAAATAAATGTGAGAAGAAATGAGGTAGAAGATGGAAATAAATGTTTGCAAATAGTGAGGTATGTAGACGGAATAAATGGTATTCACTTTCTTACCCACACAGGATCGTTGTACTATTTGTATTCTTCAACCACTATATTGCAAAAAATGTAATGGTCATCCAATTGAGCTAAATATAAATTTTTATCCTACCTTAAATTACAAGAAAGAACACACTAGCAGACAAGAAGGAGAGACATTATTCAATTCATTGAATTGTGATCTGCCTCCTACGATCTATTTCTTTTGTAGCCAAATAAAAGAACTTTGATAGGAATTGATTTTTATGTTTTGCAAAATTTTTATGTATCCATAAGCTTACACCAAAGAGGCCAATGTTGAAAGAAGAAAAGCCAGTTGTGAAGCTATGGACCTGGAAATAGTTCCCAAGAAATTTAAAGTGGTTGTTTTCCTATTCATCCTCTCCGCGAATCTTATTTGAAGAAAAAGCGCTCCAGCTTGAATTTGAATTTTTTTAAAAAAAATTGAGAATCTACTTTTTGAATCAACACCCACAAGAATGTCACTTTATGTGTGCCCCATGCGGCCCATAAAACTGCATGGATTAATGTGTCGGGCCACTAAGATAATTAGTTTAAGTTAGTGAAAGCACGAGTGTCAATAAATAATGACAAAATAATACGAAGTAATTAATGAATTTTTTTTCCAAATCTCAACCTTTTGTATTTATATGATACACAATTATAATGGCAATATTTTCCTGTAGTGGTCATCACACATTCTCCAATTGCAAAGTCACACTCCCTCTATCTTATAATGTTCTTCCCGTTTGTGTTTACGTGGTTTGACCGACTTTATTTTCAATTCAATTTATTTGATTGTAGGTGTAACATTAAAACATTAAATTTATATATTTAAAAACTACATCAAAATAATTACAAAACAAGTGGTGACAAGAGTATATTATTTTATCAAGAGTATATATGGCTTCATTGTAAATTGTAAGGACGAGAAGAAATACAAGGGAATTTCCTTCCAAATAATTCTTTCACAGTGTTTGACAGATATTATTTTCAAATCATTTTATATGACAAATAGTATAGACTTAAAAAAATAAAAATTACATATTAAAATACTACATCAAAAGATCTACAAAACTAGTAGTGACAATAGTACTTTATTTTATCAAATTGCTAACAAAAATAAATAAAGTGAGTAAAGTTTGATTCTGTGAATAGTAAACATGCACTATAAATTGGGAATGAGTAAGTAAAATTTATATATATTTAAAACTATATCAAAAGTTCTACAAAACAAGATTTGAAAACGCTATAAGTAGCGAAAATAAGTAAAGAAAGTGATTAAAGTTTGACCGTGTGACTAAGTAACTGAGAAAAACATTTTCATCTCGTTCATCAATTAGGTTCGATTTACATAAACGATGTCGTTTTAGTCCTATCTGTGTAACTTTTTTCAAAATTATTAGTGTGTTTGGTTAGGAGTTCCAGGAAAATTTTGATTTCATTTTCATGTGTTTGACGATATTAGTGGAAGGAAAATATTATCCTGGCAAACAATGGATTATATGTTTGAAGACTAATTTTTCTGTTAGTATAACATCTACAATTGAATGAATAACGTTTATCCGTCTTGTCTGCTAGTATGTTCTTTCTTATAATTTAAGGTAGGATAAACATTTGTATGTAGCTCAATTGGATGACCATTAGATTTTTTTCAATATACGAAAAAAATATGTAACTAGAAAAATAAATGTGAGAAGAAACGAGGTAGAAGATGGAAATAAATGTTTGTAAATAGGGAGGTATGTAAAAGGAATAAATGATATTCACTTTCTTACCCACACACGCTCGTTGTACTATTTTTAGTCTTCAACCTCTATATTGCAAGAATTGTAATGGTCATCCAATTGCAAGAAAGAACACACTAGCCGACAAGACGGAGTGACGTTATTCATTGAATTGTGATCTGCCCCCTACTATCTATTTCTTTTGTAGCCAAAAGAACTTTGATAGGAATTGATTCATTTGTTTTGCAAAATTTTTATGTATCCACAAACTTACACCAAAGAGGCCAATGGTGAAAGAAGAAAAGCCATTTCTGAAGCTATGGACCTAGAAATATTCCCAAAAATTTAAAGTGGTTGTTTTCCAATTCATCCTCTCCGCAAATCTTATTTGAAGAAAAATTGCTTCCACTTGAATTTTGGTTTATCCAATTCTTCCGCTGGGAATCTACTTTTTGAATCGAGACGCTTAATAATGTCACTTTATGTGTGCCCAATGCGGCCTATAAAACTGCATGGATTAATGTGTCGGGCC